CCCCACCCCCCCCCACCCCACCCCATCCTTCACCCTTAAACCCTCCCCATCTGTGTCTGTGTGTGTGTTCTAAAGTGAACCAAAAAATCAGGTGCGTTGTGTTCCAAAGTGATCTCGCTTTTTGCTAACCCTTCCATGTTTTTGGTGTTTTGTGTTCCAAAGTGACCCATGTTTTGTGTTCCAAAGCGAACTAAAACCCTGTGTTCCAAAGTGAACTAAAACTTGTGTTCTGAAGTGACCCCGCTTCCATTGATGAGGCCTTGGTGAAAGACCAAGCCGAGGCCGATGGAACGGCGGGTCGATGATTTGGTTGTGGGGCCAAACAGATAACGTCTGTTTGGCTGGCCGAGCGAACATTTTTGTCAGATGTGCATTTGTGAAGAGCAGCAACCGTTGTATTTTTGAAGGTTAAAGAACCCGTTCCAATCATCATTTTGGGATGACAGATGAGGTCCGTTTGTTCTGTGTCTCAGTTTGCATTGAGCACTTTGAGCTGTCCGCTTTTTGAAAGCTGCCTGAGCCCAGGTGGACAAGATGGAAAAGAAACACCTTCTTCTGCCCAATCGAGAAGGCGCAATGAATTCAAACGGTTCAGCGGCAACTCTATGGAAAACCAGGTTAGCTGGTTTTAATCCTGTGAACCGGTGAATGCAGGTGCAGTGGTGTATGTTGTGCTCCGCAAAGCAAACTCCACGCGCACCGCGCTCGTCTACAAGCCGCCTGTCTAAATAGCCTTTCAAACGTTTAAGCACTTAACTGCATCGATGTCAAAGGGCACTTTACACGTTTGCACCAGGTTTGACATTAGAATGATAGTTCCACGACGCATCCTCATTATTGCAATTCTACTTGTTGGTGGAATCCTGGAAAAGACAAGTGTTCTGCCCAATGCACAAGCGGATGTGGAAGCAAAGGGGTAAAACTCAAATGATTTCAACTGCTTTTGAAGGGGTGAAGGAAACCGTGCCACACAGCATTGTCGAAGCCCCTTCAGCGTATTTTGCAAGTCACTCCCCACCCATAGAAAGATTCCCAAGATGTTGGGGATCTCTGGTGTTCGACTTTTTTTCTGATCGTGGGCTTGTCTTTGCGATGGATCCGATGGTGTTCGATCTTTTGGTGTCTTGATGATGCCAAATTGTGCTTTATCTTGGGGGAGCTGATGCAAACAAAGCCGATGTGGCTGTACCCGACCTGACATATGCACCCTCCAAGGCCCTGACGCAAAAACGCTGCTGCGGGGTCATTCAGGGTGTAAGAGAGGATGGCGCCATCAACTGCCCTCAGCTTCAAGCCGCCTTTGGCTGCGATGTCTGTGTTGCCCCACAGCAAATCGCTGGCTTTGATGAAGGAGAAGAAGTCAGCTTTGCCGTGACACTGAATGAGAAGTCTGAACCTCAAGCGATGGACTTGCAGAGTCTGACAATTTCGAGAAAGGCAACACTTATTCCGAGACCAAGGGTAGAAGGTCACAGAGTTGTGCCACAAGAAGCCAGAAATACACCCTTTAAGCCTTTGCCATCACTCCCACTTCAGGGTCTTCCCCCCCGATGCACTTCAGGGTCTTCCCCCCGATGCTGCCACTATTGCAGCCATATCTGCTGCGGCCATTGCCAGTGCACCGAAAACTGCTGCTGGACTCTTTCAGAGACAAACTCTCAATTCGTCGCATCCTACATCCAAAGCATCGATTCGTGTGGATTCCATGGATCTATGGGGTGGTGAAGAGTTTCGATCCAAAGGCTTTGGTTTCATGTTCTGCAAAGAGCTGAACGATGCTTTTGACACTGACGCTTTTTTTTGCATGGCGAAACGTGTGGAAGTTTCATTGGGACAGAGGCGATGGTTTCATTTGTTGTGAACAGCTTCGGACTCTGGGCTATGAGGGGGGATGCCTTTAGACATCACTCGGAGATCAACGAATCGACGACTTGGCCAGGCCAAGTCGTCGCCTTCACAGCGTTGAACGATGGGAAGTTGTTGGCACGTGACCTTCGATATCGACAGCCAGCCTCTTCCACCCTGGCCAGTGGGGCCACGAACCCTCGGTCAGATGGACAGTGGGGTCCAGGCATCGTGTTGGGAACTGGTCACTCGGACAGACGGGTCTTCCGCCTCCAAAGAGTGATGGCTACTAGCGATGGCCTCCAACCTAACAGCGATGGCCTCCAACCTCTAAGAGCGTTAGCCTCCAACCTAAGAGCAATGGCCTCCAACCTAATAGCGATGGCCTCCAATCTAAGAGCGATGGCCTCCAACCTAACAGCGATGGCCTCCAACCTAAGAGCGATGGCCTCCAACCTAAGAGCGTTGGCCTCCAACCTAACAGCCATGGCCTCCAACCTAAGAGCCATGGCCTCCAACCTAAGAGCGATGGCCTCCAACCTAAGAGTGATGGCCTCCAACCTAATAGCGATGGCCTCCAACCTAAGAGCGATGGCCTCCAATCTAATAGCGATGGCCTCCATTCTAAGAGCGATGGCCTCCAACCTAAGAGCGATGGTCTCCAACCTAAGAGCGATGGCCTCCAATCTAAGAGCGATGGCCTCCA